GAAGACACAGAGCAAGACGAAGATGAAGAAATGGATGTCGGAACAGATGAAGAAGAACAAGAAACAAAGGTACAGCAACTCAGGAATGGGGCTTGCATTAGTTCTGGCGAAGTTAGGACTGTGTAACATACAGAAATCAGACTTAGAGAAGTCCACCCCAGGATAGGCATCTCAAATCAAATTTGAAAGCTGGAGCAAATCACTTTTTTTTCTTTAAATAGTGTGTACTTTGATCTTCCCACTTCTTTCATTCCTTTTTTATTTTAGTCAACCATTCTTGATGTTTTTAAATAGATTTTTCCTTAGCCCACAATGTTTCTGTATATACTCTTGGTCATTTGCTTCCGCCTTACTACATAGTAACAGGCTGTTTTAAATTTTTTATTGTTGTGTTCAGGGGCCATTGCTACTTTTGGTGGATTCTAAATTATTTAAAATTTTTGCAGATTATCCAGGTGAGGTTTGAGCCTACCGCTGAAATAATGGAAATAGGCTTAGCCCAGTCAGTTTTTTCCACATGCGAGCTTTTGTGAGCTAATGGGTATTTTTCTGCTAGCTTTTAATGTCCTGATTTTTCTATTTTCACAGACATCTACAGCTGAAAAAGATGAACTGTAAATTATACTCTCACCATTTGGATCCTGTGTGGAGAGGAAATGTGAAATTTTAAGTCATTTCTTTTGGGAGAGACTTGTTTTGGATGCTCCCCCCAAACCCCTTCTCCCCTGCACTGTAAAATGTTGAGATTGTGGGTCACAGGAAGAAGGGGGTTTTTTAGTTGAATTTTTTTTAACATTCCTCATGAATGTAAATTTGTACTATTTAACTGACTATTCTTGGTGTAAAATCTTGTCATGTGTATAAAAATAAAAAAGATCCCAAATATTCAGTGTCTTGCCTTTTTAAATTTTAAAACGTATATTAAAAAATCATTTATAGAGATAAAAGGTAATCTTCCTTCCAGAAGAATTCCAAATCATCTCTGTAGATGTACTCCCTTTCTGGGGATGGAGCTAATCCTTCTTGTGGGCTGGATTTAGTGACTGTCTTCTGAAGAATGGAGTATGGAAAGGGGAAAACAGTAACTTCATGGCAGAGAAGCCTGGCAGACGCTACCTTAACCAAGTGATCAAGGTTACTATTGCCAATAATGTTGTGGACCCCCTCAGATGATGTAATGAGTGGGTACTTCACCTCTGGTATTTTTTCCAAAAACCAATAGCCTTTACCTAATGAGAAAAAACACAGACAAACCTAGAATATGCGAACAGTACTCTAAATAAACAGTTTCAAGGTCAAAATCAAGGAAAGAAATAGTCACAGACTGGAAACTAAGGAGACAGGGCAACCAAGTACAATATTGCACCCTGGATTAAAACGGGTAAAATCCAGATAAAGGCTAGGGTATTAGCATTCATGGAGATGGGAGAAGGTATACAGGAACTCGACTGTCTGCAGGCTTCCTATAAATCTGAACTTGGAATAAAATTAAAAAGCTATCATTAAAGTCTCCCACAGCTCAATAAGCACCTTATCTATAGTTATCATTTAATTTCTTTGAAATGTATTATTTATGGGAGAAACAGTTTCTCTAATTTCACTAGTCTTGTTGCCATCCAAAATGGTAGTCTCTTTTTCTGTGTTAACTGATTAGGGGGAGAGAATCTTATTCAGTTGCATATTCAAAGGTCATGTGTGTGTGAGAAAATTCTGTGGAATCTAATTTTATGTTAGGGACTTCACAACTTTCCCGATAAATCTAGGACCCCTTTCTGGGCTCCTGTTTCTATTCATTGTATGCTTGCTTTTCCTTCCCACCAAGCTATTTAGGGTTCATTTGCAAATAATCACTTTGAAATGATGTGCCACGCTACTCATAAAGTATATATCTTTAAAAATCTGCTATTACATTGTTTTGTACACCTGAAACAAACAAATCTGGGCCGGACGAGTGGCACGTTGGTTAAGTAAGAGCTGGCTTGGGATGCCAGCTCTGAGCAGCAGGACCACAGTTCGGATCCCACATGAGAGCCAGTGACACTGCCCTCTACAGCTAAGATGGTGAACAACAGCTCAACGTGGAGCTGGGCCGTGAGTCACTGGAGATGGCGTAAGTGAGCAGCCAGCAGCCGCAGTGAACGACCGGGGAGAAGCTGGCGACTGATCTGCCTCGCCTAGAAGGAGCGCAATGATGGTGCCAACTTGGGCCAGTGAAGCAACATCCTCCACAACTAGATTGTAGAACAAAATGACAGCAACTTCTCTGTTCCCATCCTCCAATTCCCCAGCATTGTTCCCATCCCCCAATTCCCCAATTAAAAAAATAAATCTGCTTTTCTCCCTTATAAGAAATACAATGGGAGTTCAGTAATACAGAAACATGCTATAATGAAGATATATGCTTCCTTTCATGACAGTGTTATATTAGCTATTGTATGTAATATTTGTTCCCAATTTTTTGGCCACAATAAGTTACCATTCTTAATAGAGATTGTTCTAGAAGTTGAAGCCATCAGATTGCATTAAACTAGTGACATCTGAACCTTAATCCTCAGAATCCTCCAATTACAAATTTTGAATTTCCATTGTTTCTAGCAGGAAGCATAAAAAGCATACTCATTCAGTTTTCAGTAAAAACAAGCAGTCATATGCACTTGACACAGTAACTGTTTAACTGAATTGCCAAACAGGTCACAACTATCTATCTTGGGACTTTCTTGCCGCCCCCCCCCCCAGCTTTATTAAGGAATAATCTAGTACTTCTCCTAATTTTTGGCTTGTATGTAGCACATTTGATTTTGCACACGGCACTGAGATGGAGTTTAGTATACTTTTGTTAAGGAGTGCCCTTAGATCAATACCTATGGAAGGAAAGGAAGTGGGATTGAGCAGGAAAAGTTGAGCTGCAATGCAGGTCTAAAGACAGCTTCTGTCAACCCCTTGGGGGGTTGTGGTGCTAAAGGGGGGAAGGGGTGGAAGGGGGGAGTTCAGAGTTGCTCACCCTCTGCTGTTCTGAAATGATTGGTTGGGCCCTTCTACCCCATCAATTGTTAGATGTGGGCCCTTCCAGGTGTGGCTCTGAGCAAGGCCACCTAGCTGAGACAATCCTGCTGAGCTGACACTGAAAGCTGCTCTCAGCACGGGCCACAAGCTTTTCCTTGGGGAAATTTGGATGACACATTGCTACACCCACCACAATGTTCATTTTTCACAATGGAGGTCAACTTCAAATAAGGAAAATCGTATATGCCTTGGTGAAAGTCACTTAGAATCAGCACTTACTGAAATAATGGCATTTTTACTTTAGGTAAAATTTTAATACTATAAAATTAATTTTTCACCTTCATGAAGCCATTGTCTTATAGGAGAGTTGGATTCAAGTCACGACTCTTCCTCAATAGCCAGACCAATCACTACCTATAAAAGAAAGGTATGGGGGGCTGGGGGGTACTTTTAAAGTATGGTCCACTGCATTCATCCATGGCATGAGGGTCCTCCCCTTGTGCCCATGCTGGCTCCAAGGGCCAAGTCCTTCACGCTAAGAGTGAGCAAATCCCAGCCCTTTATTCTGGAATGAAATGAGAAGCTCCTCACTGGTATCTACAAAATGCATTGTCAGAGCTCACCAATTTGGCGTTCATATAAGCCAAAGTTTGTGGAGAGCTAGAATTTGAAAATGTTAGCAATGAGAAAAATTCCAGCTAGCAAATTCAATTGTTGAAACTAGTTCAGAGTTAAAAAATAATTTTATTGTTGACTTATACTAAACCATGTATCTTTTCTGAAACCTTTAGAACTCCAACTCTTTGATGAAATCAGGCACCCAGATTAGAATTACCGAATTCGTGTTTAGGAACCCATTTTTAAATTTCTTTAATTAAAAAAGAAGTCAGACTTCTTCCGGTCTGACATAAAGCCATTGCAATGGCAGCTGTGGCATGCTTCACCGTTTGTAAAATTACACAATTTTTTTTCAAGAAAAATAATTAATAGTAGCTATGAAAATTTGATCTAGAGAAGGTGCATCTCAAGAAGGTACGTCTTTACTTACTTTACGAGGCCACAGTAAATAAAATGTTAGCAAACAGCAAGCAGTCTCAACTAAAAACTCCGTCTTCTACCTGACAACCCCAGCCCTTCCACTAGGGTGGGCTACTGCTCATCTGTCACTGACACTCGGAGATCCTGTTTGGGCTGGAAGCATATAAGTACCAAGTGACATGGCAGCAGAAAACAAAGAGCTTGTATATAAGGCTGGAAATAAGCCATTTCATTTAGTTGCTTTATACTATTAAACTGAAAGGGTATTTACTATGGAGAGTAAAAAGTATTGTGCTTCCATTTAAGGGATTTAATATTTGAGATTTCAGGGCTGACTCTAAAGATCTATTTTGCTAACTGGCTAAGAAGTAAGCCTAAACATCCATCAGAATGCAGAATTCTGAAAAACTTCTGTTGGAAAAATAGTCCTGAACAGAAAGCCAACTGCTCTAGCAATTACTTTTGTCCTGTATTTAGACTCAGAAAAGTGTTGAAATGTTTATTAATTTACTAGGGCTGCCACAACGAAGTACCACAAACTGGGTGGCTTAAGACAACAGAAATGTATTCTCTCACAGTTCTGGAGGCCAGAAGTCTGAAATCCCGGTGTCAGCAGTGCCATGCTCTGAGACTCTGGGTAGCATCCTTCTGTGACTCTTTCTAGCTTATGGTGGTGGCCCTCAGTCCAGGGGGTTCCCTGGCTTGTAGCTGCATCACTCCAATCTTTGCCTCTGTTGTCACATGGTGTTCTTTCCCCGTGTGTGATGTCTTTAAATGGCGTTTTCCTCTTCTTTTAAAGACACCATTCATATTGGATTAGAGCCCACCCTAATGACCTCCTCTTAACTCAGTTACATTTGCAAACACCCTATTCCCAAATAAAGTCACCTTCACTTGTACTAGAGATTAGGACTTCAACATCTTTGTGGGGGGACACAATTCAACTCATAACATGCTCATTTAAGTTTTTCCATTACCTTTAAATATATTTTATAAGAAAAATTAAATGCTAACAAGGTTTATCAAACTGAGGGTAAAGAAATTGTGATAGTCGAAGTCACAATTGTTATAATTTTGTTATGTACATAATTCCAACTTCAAACTTAAAATATTTCAACTTCAACTTAATTTGTTAACTTAATTAACAAATAATAGTTTCCGATATTTGGAGAAACATTAACTTAGCACCATAAGCACTCATGTCAATGTCACTTTTATTATAGTTCATTTATAATTCCTATTTGCTGTTATAGTCAAGCTTATTCAAAGAAATAATCTAGAATTATAAGGGCAGGGGTCATTGCAAATACTCCTATCTCACATGAGTCTCAACTAAATGTCTATCAAACCATATTCAAGAAGCTGACGATATATAAGCTTTGGTAGTTTTCAAGAAACATTGGTCAAACCATAAATAAATCTCAATGCATTACTTAATATCTACTGAGCACCTGCTCTTGTAGTTAGCATTCTATTAGGTGCTTAAGGACAAGTAATTTGACTCAAGAAATTTCAAAAATATATATTTAAGACATATAATATTGTTCACAGAGTTCTTGGCAGAGTTGTAGTTCGAGGTTTCTACTGCTGAGAAACTTGAGGTTTGTGTTGTGTCTCTTTCAGTCCCAACAGCTCTGTTTTGAGTTCTCCAGGCTTTGGTGGAATATCGGGTATTGTCTATTAAAAAAAAAAAAAAGTCAGTGCTTTCTTAGACTGTAATTAAATGTGACCTGAAAGACTTCAAAGAAAGTAAAGAGTAAGAAAGAACAAAAAGTCTCCTGCTACTCAGTGATAATCTTTATTATGAGAACTCACAGTTGATCTAAGTCCCTTTCTAGTCCTATATTTATATGACTCCATCATCTAAGCTATGTCTTAAGTACTTCAGGACTTACAGAGGGAGAGTTTGCATCACTATCAATGGACAGATTCCCAAGTTGGAATAAAGCTTTCCATTTGGAAATTCACTCCTGCACTTTACTGACTCTCCACAATGCATAAAGCAGTGAGCAAAAAAGTGTTAAACTGCCTTCAAGAAAACTGGTCAGAGGGCCGGCTGAGTGGCTCAATTGGTTAAGAGCTCACTCAAGAGTTTGAGCTCTGAGCAACAGCGGTTTGATGCCCGGCCTGAGCTGAGCTGCTGCTGAGCTGCTGCTGAGCTGCCAAAAGGTGGCAGGATGGCTCAGCTTAAAAAAAAAAAAAGAAAAAGAAAAAGAAAACTGGTCAGGAAAAGCCTGAGAAAGTGACTTTTTTGCAGCAGCAGCTTTAATGACATATAACACAATAATCATACAATTCACCCATTTACAATATACAATTAAATGGCTTTTAGTATATTCACAAAGTTGTGCATCCATCACAACAATGTGTTTTAGAACATTTTCATGACCCCCAAAAGAAACCCCATACCCATTAGCAGGCACCCCCATTTCCACACAGCTAAGCCACTGCCCTAGGCAACCATTAATCTACTTTTTGTCTCTATGAATTTCTCTATTCTGGGCATTTCATATAAACGGAATCATTCAAAATATGGTCTTTTGTGACTAGTTTCTTTCACTTAACATATTTTCAAGGTTCACCCATTGTTGTCACATATATCAGTACCGCATTTCCTTTTAGGACCAAATAATACTCCAGTAGATGGATATTAATTTGTCCACTTATCAGCTGATGGACATCTGGATTGTTTCCATTTTTTGGTTCTTATAAATAATACTTCTATGAACATTTGTGTACAAATGTTTGTGTGGACATGTGTTTTCATTTCTCTTGGGTATAAACCTAAAAGTAGAATAGCTGGGTCATATGGTAACTCCCTGTTTAACTGTTTGAGGAACTGCCAGACCATTTTACACAGCAGCTGCACCATCTTACATTCCCAATAGTGCTGTATAAGGAAGGGTTCCAGTTTCTTTGCGTTCTCACCAACACTTGTCATTAGCTGTTTTTTAAAAATCAATAGCCATCATAATGGTTATGAAGTGGTATCTTATTGTGGCACAGTCCTTTTGTGGACAAAACAAAGTACAAGTAAAGATAAAGGAGTAAAATCATTGCAAATTGTGACAAGTGCTCTATGGAAACAAATGACTGAGACAGAATAGCAGAGGAGCAATCGTTTTGAAGCTCTCTAAAGGACCCTCATTGCTGGAGGAGCTATTTGATCAGAGACTTGAAGTTTTGAAGGAAACCAAGCCAAGATCTGGGAAGAAAGCATTTCAAGAAGAGAAAAACATAGCCTTGAGGTGGGAACAGGCTTGATGAGTTTGCGAAACAGCAAGGAAGCCAGTGTGGCTGCAACAGAGGGAACAAGAGGGAAAGGGGAGAAGGACAGTGGCAGGCAGGTACCAGACTGTGTAAGACTTTAAGACTGCGTATGATTTCAGTGTAAGACTGTGTAAGAGCAAGACATGCATTGCTCTAAATGCAATGGGATGCCATCCTAAGGTTTGAGGCCCAGGGCAGACCTGCTCCTGATTTCGTTTTAAGATCACTTTTGCTGCTGTGGGGAGAAGGGAGCGGTCCAGGAGCAAAGAACAGGACCCTCCTGCACTCACCAGGTCCGGCCGGTAGTACCTGTGCACCACTTGGGCCCCAGCGAACATGGCTAGGAGGCTGGCAGTGACCATTTTCAGGTAGGTGGTCCAGGACACGCCCGCGGGCATGGTCGGCGGGCTGGACGGGGAGGGAAAGCGGGCAGGGTTAGGAGGTTCCCAGCTCACGACTAAACCCAGCCGGGAAACAAGCCACACGGCAGCGTAGGGGCGGAGTCACGACACCTCGGGTCCCTCCTAGTCTCGGGCCCCGCGTCCTCGTCTGTGAAACGCGGACGCGGGGAGGACGAACGTCCCTTCCAGGCCTAAGCTCAGCCTTCCGTGGTTTCTTAGTGTCGGGGGCTGGGCCTTCGGAATTGAAAGGCAGCTCTCGCGGAGCCAGCGGAAGGCCGACCCCGCGTGGCTTCCCTGCGCCCCTTCAAGCACTAGAACCACAGACCCCACTCCCACCGGCCCCTTCGGCGCGCCTCGGGGGAGCCTGTACCGCGGGGCGCTCGGGAGCCGAAGCCGACGGCCAACAGGCAGGACCGAAAATGCTAGAGCTGCGGGCCGCGCCGGAGGGGAAAGCGGGGACACTGCCGGCGCGGGCACGTGACCTGGGCGGAAGCGCGACTTGGGGCCGGGCCCAGTCTTGTTGTTGTTGTTAACCGATTCCCAGTCCCGGGTTTTTGCCGGCGCCCATCACTCTCCCTATAGTAGGATTTCCCTGGCAGATGTCGATTTGGGGGCTCGGCTCCGGCTGGATTATTGCACCATCGGTCAGATGGCACGCACAAGTGATGGCTCGCGTCAACTGCCTTTTAGGAACGGGTGGAGATTGGCACGCTGAGCAGTGAGTGCTTAGGGGAGGTCACCCTTGAGTGAATGAAGGTAAAAAGCACTCTCTGTCCTTGTGCCCGGCATCCTTTGGTACCTGAAACAGCCACACCAAGACGACAGCTATGCCCTTTAGCTTTGGTGCTACTGGAAAAAAGGAACCCTGAAAGCGACAATGTTTAATCTATGTATTTTTAGATTGTGCTTTGGTTATGGATTGATTTTTGTTAAGCAAAAGGTTAATGCAAGATTGAATTCTGAAGGATTATGGTTGCATTATACACTCACTTTTTAAACACTTAGATCTGACATAAAATAAATCACGTATTTAAAGCATACAATTTGATGAGGTTTGATGTGTACACCTGTGTAGCCATTCTTACAGTCAAAATAATGATCATTCTTACAGTCAAAACCACCAAAAGTTTCTTTGCGGCTCTTTCTAATCCCTCCCCATTGCCTCCTTCCTTGGGCAACAACTGTAAGCAAGGTCTCTTGAGAGGACTGGGAAGAAAAGAGAAACAAGGTGAAGTGATTTGGCCATTCTTTGTCGTCCTATATCATACAAGGTGTCTTTGAAGTAGAGATATTTGGCAAAGACAGAAGGACATTTCTCCTTAGGCTTCCCCAGGCTCTGGTGGGCAAGGCTCAAAAGCAGAACAAGTTTGTCTTCCAGACTCAGATTCAGGGTGGTAAGAGAGACACTGATGGGATAAGAGCCACTTTGTTGTGATTTGCTTCACCATTTCCAAGTTCAATGTCTTGCTCCCCAACAACTCTTCCAGTAAACGCTGCCTTTTGCAAGATGGAACTAAGCAGAGGTCCCTGGGGTTTGTTGTTGTGAATGGAGCTGGCAAACCCAGAAGGGGCAGGATCCCACAGTGAGGGAGACCCTTGCAACCCAACTGGAACTCTTCCTGGGTGAAAACATCCTGAGAAAAGTTAGCAATTCTTGACACATGCTTTCAGTCACCAGAATTCTCTCTGAAATCTGTGAGGTAAGCCGCCTGCTTTAAAACTTTTCTAGACTGTGGTCCTGAGTAATGAGAAAAACCAGAGAGAGAGAGAGAGAGAGAGAGAGAGAGAG